TGGGTGGATGGATGGTGGACAGGTGGGTGAGTGGATGGGTGGGTGTATGGATGGTGCAAAGCTGGGTGAATATTTTTGTTTTCCTAAGTGTTGCGTCCAGCTGCTGTTGGCACCTCCTTGAGTACAGGTCATGACTCCTTAATTGGCTCAGGAGTGAAGCCTGATGTGGAGCAGTGTTGGGCTCTGCAACAGCTGGTCTCCTCACAGGGTTCAGCCCAGTCTGCTCTCACTCATTTGCCAATTCATTCATTCATTCATTCAGCCAGTCAATAGTCACGGCCCCTCCTGTGTGCCGGGTGGCCATGGATATTGCCCTGGGTAGCACACAACCGGGCCCTGTGGAGCGGACAGTGGGGACAGCAATGTGGACGCAGTGCAGGTGGATGGCAGCTGGGTCAGGAGGGGCTCAGGGCTGTGGGGAAAGGTACAGAATCAGGGGAATCGGACTGGGGTGCAGACCTGGGGGCTGGGATTTCTAGGGTGGAGGTCACCTCTGAGGGAGACAGAGCAAGGGCTCAGGGACATGAGAAGGTCGGAGGTCGCCACGCTGAGGTCAGGGGCCCTAAATTGGAGCCACAGCAAGGAGAGGGCAGGTCAGGGCACGTGGTCAGTGAGGGCCACGGCTTCTGTGCACGGCTGGGTCTGGGGGCCTGAGCAGAGGTGACCACGATCCAGCGCCACAGCAGGCAGGACTCCCCGCCCTTGCTCCTGCCCCCCAGCCCAGGGCAGCTCCAGGGTTGGCGGCACAGCGCCCTGCTTGCCAGCTTGCAGCGCAGCCCCTCACACAGCCCAGAGGAGGACACAGATGGAGGAGGGGCAAGCGGAGGGACCTCCTGCCGACAGGCCCTGCATTTCCCACCTGCAGGACAACGAAGTGGCTGCCTTGCAGCCCCCCGTGGTGCAGCTGCACGACAGCAACGCCTACCCCCGGCGGGAGTTCCCCCACCCCACCGCAAGGCCCTGGCGGGCAGACGACATCCTGGCCAGCCCCCCTCGCCTGCCCGAGCCCCAGCCCTACCCTGGAGCCCCGCACCACAGCTCCTACGTGCACCTGCGTCCGGCGCTCCCCACGAGCCCACCCGCCCACACCCACCGCGACTTCCAGCCCGTGGTGAGTGCCCCCCATAGTGGGCTTGGCTCCATCTAGCCCCTCGGCTCTCGGGGCAGCAGAAGAGGACCCAGCCCCTGCAGAGCTGCTGGGGGTCCCAGGCTTCGGCCATGGGTGGATGTCTGGTGGCTCAGCCTGGGACTTGCCCTCCGGTGGCCAAGCAGCGGTCATGAAAGTGCAGCCCCTATCACGTCCTTGAGGAACCGGCGTGTCTCCGCCTACAGAGGCAGCTGGGGGCACCCACGTGGCCTGGGGCTGCTCTGACCCGGCAGGGTATGGGGGCTGCTGCCTCGGCCCCTCAGTGTGTCGCTGGGCATTTCCCACTCAGCCTGCCTTGGCCGTACCTGTCCATACAGGTGCAGGGCCGCGGTGGGGCGCCCAGGGCCTGGGTGCAGGGCGCAGCAGGGGACACAGCCCGTGATGTGCCCCTCTCCCCACAGCTCCACCTGGTTGCGCTCAACAGCCCACTGCCAGGCGGCATGCGGGGCATCCGTGGGGCCGACTTCCAGTGCTTCCAGCAGGCACGGGCCGTGGGGCTGGTGGGCACCTTCCGTGCCTTCCTGTCCTCGCGGCTGCAGGACCTGTACAGCATCGTGCGCCGTGCCGACCGCGCAGCCGTGCCCATCGTCAACCTCAAGGTGGGTCAGTCCAGTCCTGAGGGCATGGGCTCCTCGGCCCCCACTTGACCTCTGGGGGAACTCCCAGCGGGGGGCTCCCCTCGAGGACCCCTGGAGGCCGCCATGGTGGACACTGCCACCCAGGCTGGTGACTTCAGGGCAGGCTCCGGATGGGTCACATCCCACGAGGCTCAGGTCAGGGCCTCTGCATCCCTGGGCGCTGCCGCCTCCCCCAGGGCATCCCATGAGGCCCCCAACGTGGTCCCCTGACCCCCACTCCCCCAGCAGTGCCTCTCAGAGGCTCCTGTGCTGCTGGCCCGAGTGTCCACACAGGTGACGGGCCTCACAAGCCTGGAATCAGGAACCGTCCCTTGGGCCTCCAGTGCCCCCCGGCCTGGTGGCCCCTCTGCCACAGCACCCCCCTCCATGTTGCTTTATTCTGTGGCTCCTTTTCGTGCACTGGGCTGTTTCTGGGTGCCCTGGGGAGGACCACATTCCCAGAAGCAACAGCAGAGTCGTCACAGACCCAGGGTCCAGGACTGGGAGCAGGCAGCTGCAGCCTGGCGCTCCCCACCCTCTTACAGCCTGGCGTGAAGGGACAGGGTCCCCTGCCTTAGCCGAGGCCTCTTGGAGTGTGCAGAGGCTGCCTGGCCAGGCCTGGCTTCCCTGCGCTCGTTCACCAGTGGGACGTGCCCAGGGCTGCAGAAGCCCCTCCACCCACACACACGGTTTCTCCTCCAGGATGAGCTGCTGTTTCCCAGCTGGGAGGCTTTGTTCGCAGGCTCTGAGGGTCCGCTGAAGCCCGGGGCACGCATCTTCTCCTTTGACGGCAAGGACGTCCTGAGGCACCCCACCTGGTAGGTTCCCAGTGCCGTGTGAGCAGCTCTGAGAGCCCCAGCCAGGGAAGGCGGACGGGCAGGTGGGCAGGCAGGAGGATGGATGGATGGATGGGCAGGCGTGTGCCCACTGCTCCTAAGAGCAGTTCCCCCTGAGCTTGGGGACAGATCTTACACATGCTCATTACTTAAAAATTATAAAATCCAAAAGAGCATTGAGAAAAATGAAAACTGCTCTGATAAGTAATCATTAGCATGTGTGTGTTTGAGAGGAATGTAGTTCTAAGAACGCCTTTAAGCGCCCCCGGCCCTCTGCCCATGGCACATAGACTCCACGTCTCCCAGGATGTCACCAAACCCGTGGTCAGCCATGTAGGCATCGCAGTGAGTTTATTCACCGAGAATAAACTCCTCAGAGGACAACACGGAGTCCGAGCACGTGTGCCCTTAAAATGTTGACAGAAATTTCCAGAGTGTCCAGAACGCTTCATCCCAAATGTCGCTGTGCCCTCCCCACATGAGCGCCCCGATTCTTGCAACACTCATGCTTTTAGGAGTGTTTCGGGGTGCCACACAGTGTGTCCCCAGCAGTGCCTGGCCATCTGCTGTAACGGAGATGCACCTGCCAAGGGTCTCTGACAAGAGCGCTGTGGGCGGGGCTGGGCCGGGCCACAGGGCAGGCCGGAAGCCAGGAGCCCAGGAGGCGGAGCTGCTTCCTAGCGAGGCAGCCACAGGAAGCCTTTGCTTAGCAGGCATGAGGGCCGGGTCCACCTAGCCAGGCCAAGCCCTGGGCCCTCTCCCCTCTGCTGTGGGTGTCTGGCAGAAGCAGCATGGGGTGCAGTCTGGGAGATATAGCTCCCTCCACAGGCAGCCAGCAGGGAGGCCACGTGGCCCTCCAGGTTGTGGGAGCCTCTGCAGCCCCGTTACCCCTGGGGCTGGCCTCCTGCCTCCACCTTTCCTGCCTGGGGGGTGGCCTCTGCCCTAAGCGGAGCAGGTCTGGGTGTGACTGACGGCCTGGCGCGTCTTACAGGCCCCAGAAGAGCGTGTGGCATGGCTCGGACCCCAGCGGGCGCAGGCTGACTGAGAGCTACTGCGAGACGTGGCGGACAGAGTCTCCCTCAGTCACAGGTCAGGCCTCCTCCCTGCTGGGGGGCAGGCTCCTGGGGCAGAATGCCGCAAGCTGCCACCACGCGTATATCGTCCTCTGCATCGAGAACAGCTTCATGACTGCCTCCAAGTAGCCGCCGCCTGGATGCGGATGGCCGGAGAGGACGGGCGGCTCGGAGGAAGCACCCACTGTGGGCAGGGAGCGGCCGGCCAGCCCCCGGCCCCAGGACCTGGCGGCCATACTTTCCTGTATAGTTCACGTGTCATGTAATCCTCAAGAAATAAAAGGAAGCCAAAGAGTGTATTTTTTTAAAAGTTTAAAATGGAAGCCTGCTGCTGACGTTCATCTGCCCCAGCTCTCCCGAGCTGTGAGCCCAGCTGGCGCGGCCTGGGTCAGGCAGGCTGCAGTATCATGCCCTGTGCAGCCTCTTTGCCTGAATCAGACCACGGCTTGATTTCTCCAGGATTTCCTCCTCTGGGAAGCTGTGCTCACCCCGGCAGGCGCCGACTTCATCTCCCACCTAGCACCTCCGTTCTGAGCCCAAAACCCAGACCTGGTAGCAGACGGGCCCCGTGAGGCAATGGGAGCTGAGGCCACACTCAGCACAGGGCCACCTGGGCTCTCCTCCAGGGTGTGCTTGCCCTGCGGTTGATGGGAGGGAGGCTCAGGTCCCTGGGGCTGGGGCAGCCCCTTCTGCTCAGGTCTGGGCTGTTCACAGCAACCCCAGCCGGGAGCAGGTTTCCAAGCTCAGAGGCCCACTGTGACCCCCGGCTCTGGCCTGTCCTCCAACACCACGCACAGGAGCCTGGGGCTGGCCTCCCAAATGACCCATGAGATACATCCAAAGCAGACAGCTCCACGCTGGCCAAGTCCAAGCTGGGAGATACGAGGGACCTGTGAGTTGGGGTCTGGCAGCCTCCCATCCAGGGCCCCCATCTCATGCCCCCGGCTGGGACTTGGCTCAGCCAGCACTTGTCCAGCTGAGTGCCAGGATGGAACAAGGCCACGTCGAAGAGGCTGAGGCTGGCACAGGACATGCAGCAGCCAGCGCACAGGGCAGTGGGGAAGAGCTGCCATCTGTGTACTGCCCATGGACAGGCTGGCTCCAGATGCAGGGCAGTCATCGGCTGTCTCCTAGGAAACCCACATCCTTACCCTCCTTGGGACTGAAGGGGACACCCGGGGTGCACACAGGCTGCCCTGCAGGCGAACAAAGCAGCCACGAGGTGCGACGAGGTCCTCTGTCGCAGCCACCCCTGAGATCTGGCAGCATCGACACCAGAGTCATTCGTTGTGTGGAGGGACAAGTGGACTCAGGGCAGTGCCAGGCTGACCACAGCACGCCAGCACATACCTGCCTCGGGACTGCGACGAAACCGGTGGGGCTGGTTCTATAACTGTGTGTGATGTGAAGCCAATTCAGACAGGTAAATAAAAGTGACCTTTTACACTGACTCTTGGTTTGCAAGAGCCTTCACTGTCACAGGAAGGACACAATTCTCCAAAAGGAGTCCTCAGGAGTCTTTTATCCCTGGACTGCCCCACTGGCAGAACCCGAGTGTGCACATGGAGTTACATGGGGGTATGCATGCATAGGCATACACAGGTGTGCAGTTATACACAGGTGTGCAGGAGCATCCATAGTGCACACAGGCACACAGGCCTGCACAGGTGTGTGGACACACACCAACACTCTCAAGTCTCTCCTCACAGCAGCACCTGGCTTGCTCCCGGGAGCACCACATCCTGACAGCCATCCCTGTCCTGGTGGCCAGGTGAGTGCAGGACTCAGAGGCAGGCAGGCGGTGCGTGCAGTGAGCAGGATGCGGAGGGAGCAAGCCCTTGGGTGGGGGAGGCACTGGGGGGAGGGTTCTGATGACAGCGTGGGCCTCCCCAGTGACGCTCTGGCCCATGGCACCTCCACCCATCACATCCTGCTAGATCTACGAGCCCAGGAAATGGCTGGTGCAGACCCTTCCCAGCAGGGTCCCCAGGGTGGCCGTGACAGGGCCCCTGGATGCGCCCAGGACCACGGCCCTGTCTGACCAGCACCATCCGCTGACTCGGGCCATCTTCCACGTGCAGCCTCTGCTTCAACCCAGGGTACCCCAAGACGCCTGCTCCCCTGAGCCACCTCGGGAGACCCCAGGGTCCAGCAGCTCCAGCGGCCCCTCCCCAGCCAGAGATTCTGTCCCCAGCTCTCTGTGCGGAGCTGGTGAGCGGCCAGCCATTCACCCAGGGCCGCTGAGATGTGGCAGAGGCCCTGCAGGATATGGCCATTGACTAGGGTTGTAGGGGGGCTCAGCCCATGGGCACCAAGGCCCTGAGTGGGGAGAAGGCTGGGATGCCTCTTCTGGCTTCCTCACTGACTGCCGACCCTCAACCCCCAGGCCAGGCCGGCCCAGAATCAGACGCCCTGTGCACACTCACGTAACAAGTATGTTTGATGTATGTGGGAAGAGCGTTCACATCACATCAGATGGTCCGGCACCTGTGGGAAAGGCACTAGCGCTCCTTACACCCCCAGGCCGCTGGGACATACTTCCCCAGCGCCCCCCACGAAGGCAGCTCCCCCACGGCTCCCCAGCCCAGGCAAGCCCCGCACACACCAAGGCCAGCACGTCTGCAGTGATCGGGACCAGTCCTCTCCGGGCTGGCATGAGCGTGGGAGCAGCTGAGGACCTGCAGGTCAGGATGGACACACTTCAGAAGGACAGACAGGACCATGGAGGGCTGCCCTTAGGGTGGGGGAGAGGAACCAGTTCCGAGGACCAGAGCCGCTGACCCCCTCTGATGAGGATGCGTCTGCCGCCAACCTGAGATGGCTTTTCCACAGAGACAGAGAAGCCACGTGCAGTTCTTCATTCTATGTCAGTTTAAAAAAAAAAAAAGGGCCAGGCACGGTGGCTCACGCCTGTAATCCCAGCACTTTGGGAGGTCGAGGCGGGCAGATCACGAGGTCAGGAGATCGAGACCATCCTGGCTAACACGGTGAAACCCCGCCTCTACTAAAAATACAAAAAAAAATTAGCCAGGCGTGGCAGTGGGCGCCTGTAGTCCCAGCTACACGGGAGGCTGAAGCCGGAGAATGGCGTGAACCCGGGAGGTGGAGCTTGCAGTGAGCCAAGATCGCGCCACTGTACTCCAGCCTGGGCAACAGAGCGAGACTCTGTCTCAAAAGAGAGAAAAAAAAAAAGCAGAGCATCTTCCAAAACGCAAGAGCACCGAGGATGACCAGCAATGTCACAGCTCAGCTATGCCCAGGGGCCTAGGCTCCCACCCTGCCCTAGAGGGCTCAGAACTCCTGTGTGGCCAGTGTCCCCTGAGCTGGTATCTTAAGACCACTTCACCAGCCCAGAGGGGCACAGAGGATTTGTCTCAAGCCCCGCAAGGGGCATGAGCCAGTGAGGCCGGGTGGACACAGGAGCCCACCACCCACCTCTTACAGCAACCAAAGCCTGCGGGGCACAGCGCAGGGACAGCATGGCCAGGCAGCTTCCCTGAGTGTCGCCAGCAGGCTGTGGCCACCGCTAGAGTGCAGCACAGGGTGGGGGGAATCCCAGGGGACCTGCCAGCAGGATAAGCAGAGGCCTCTGTGGCTAAGGCAAGTGACCTTCGAGGCAGGGGTCACAGGGACGTACCGAGGGTCACCTGCAAAGTTACCACAGAGGCCCCCGAGAGTCACTGGTTCACATTCTGAACACTGTCACTTGGATGACGCTGCAAACCCAGCCTGCTGACACCAGGAGGATGGACAGCCGGCTGGGGACAGGTCTCATCTGCAGCGTCACGGCCTGAGGCTTGGGCGGAGCACGGAGTGCAGGCAGAACGGGCTGTCACTGGGCTCAGGAATCCAGCTGCCTGCAGGGCCGGGGCTGGGGCTGGGTCGCTCTGTCTCTGCTCCAGGGAGGCTGGCCCCAAAGTCCCCAGGCCATCTTCTGGGGAGAGCGGCAGGCTCTGGGCTGGCTGCAGGCCTCCAAGGCCCTTGTCCTGCATACTCAGCACCTGTGCTGCCTTCTCCTCCACGGGACTCCTCAGGTCCTGGGCCGGGGGCAGCGGCTGGTGGTGGCCCCGCTGGCAGTGCCGCAGGCCATCCAGCATGGCCCCCAAGAAGTAGATGATGGACAGGATCAGGAAGTACACACAGTATAACTGGAACTGGAAAGAGAGGCAGGTGAGGCAGGTGAGGCAGGTGAGGCGGGTGGGGAGGGCCCGGCTGGGATGATGGCACCCTACACACCAATGCCTGCTCCCAGGCTCACCCTCCTCCAGCTCAGAGGCTGACCCTGAACATGGCACAGCAGCCAGAGGCCAGCCCCAGGAGCAGGTGCCACAGTGCTCACCACAGCCCCCCTTCCCGCCACGGCCTGGCACAGGCCTTAAGAGGGGCTCCCACCATTTCCCAAGAACCCCTCAGAACCTGGCAGGTGGCCTGGCTCTGCATGGCCTGCAGTGTCTGCTCCTGAGGCCCCTGCTTGGTGCTGCTTGCTGCCCGTCCATGGTGCTGAGACAACAAGAGAATGCCCATGAGGGCCAGAATGTCCCGCCTGGCAGATCAGGCTGAGGACAGCCACAGCGGGTGACAGGGAGCTACTCCCCAGGGCTTCACGCCCAGAGTGACCCCTCAGCAGCCTGCACACGAAGCCCGTCTCCACCTCAGCAGTGGAAGCTGTGCTACAATGACCAGAAGGAGCGGCACCAGCAGTGGCCACATCTCTCCTGATTCTCACAGCTGCCAGGGGCAGGAGGGACTGGAGATGTCCCTGGGACACCAGGGAGGGACCTGATCATTCCCAGAGGTGCAGAGGGTTCAGGAGGCTGCAGTGCTTTCAGGACATCTGTGGGCAGAGCCCAGTGAGTCCCGCACAAGACCCCTGAAGCCCCCGCTCCACGCCCGCAGGCCAGAATCCCTGCAGCCCGTCGGCACCGGCACCCTTCCAGGAAAACTGCTTTTAAAGCAAACTCAGGAAGATGGGGCTGGCACACTTCTCCCTGTTCTTCTCCTACCCAAGACACTGAGATAAACACCTGGGAAGATTCTGAAAGCGGGAGCGAGGCAGGCAGACCGGCCGGGCCCGTGGGGTCTGGGGAGCTGTGCCATGCAGAGCTCCCTGGGGCCTTTTCTTTTCGCCTCAGATATTTTGAAACTGAAGAAGGCAGCAGGCTGGAAATGCCAACAGATGCAGAAAAAAGAGCCCATGAAAGCAGCTCTCTCTGGCCTAAGACCCAGGGAAGGGGCAGCCCAACATGAGGAAAGACCTTTTGACAGGAATCGCCCTGCTCCCCGCAGACACCAGACCTCGGCTCCACCCACCACGTCAGCAAGGACCCCTCACCCTCCCCAGCCTGTAACAAGGACCCCCAAGTCCCCTGCAGGGTAGTGTCAGACACCACCAGTGGGCACTACAGCTTTCACTCCCACTGGCTGGTAAAGACGCCCACCCTCACCCACAGGAGTCAGCGGAGACCACAGGGAAGCCTAGACTGTCACCCCGAAGCCCCATGGGGTCAGCGAAGACCATGTGGGGAGCGTGGCCTCTTATCCTCGCCCAGTAGTAAGAGGGTGCCCATCCCCCTCCATGCTGGGAGGTATCTGAGGGGGTCAAGCAGGGAGTCCAGACTTTCACCCAACCCAGGAATAATGAGAATGTCCCAACCCTAGGGGCATCAAGGGGACCACAAGGGGAGCTGGATTCCCATCCCTGCCTGGCAACAAGAAGGAGCCCCCACCCAGCCACCCACCCTCGCTCAGGTGTCACGAAGGCTGAGTGGGAGCCTGGACTTCCACCCCTCCTCCCTGTAGCGAGGTGCACACCCCACTTGACCTGCTGGAGCTGCGTCAGCCACGACAGGATGCTGAAATTACATCATACCCAAAATGCTTGCATCTCACTAAAAAGTCCCTTGGCACACTAAGCCACAGAGATCTCAACCTGAAAAACAATTAATAGACACCAACACTAAGACAACAGGAATGGTAGAATTCGCTGAGAAAGATCTTAAAGCAGCCACCATAAAAATGCTTCAGTGAACAATAACAAACATGCTGGAAACAAATGAAAAAACACAGTCTCAGCAAAGAAATGGGAGAAATAAAAAAAATTTAGAACTGAAAAGTACAATAACCAAAATTTTAAAACTTAATGAATCATCTCAACAAAATAGAAGAGGCAGAGAAATGATCAGTGAACTGGAGGTAGAACAATATAAATTATCCAACCTGAACAAAAGAAAAAATGGACTGAAAACAAAATGAACGAAGTCTCATTCCTTGTGGGGTTTCATAACATGAACCTAACATTTGTGACACGGGGGTTCTAGAAAAAGAGGAGAAAAGGAGTGGGGTTCAAAGAGCACTTTAGGAAATAATGGCTGAAAAATTCCCAAATTTGGTGAGACGTACACTGCAGATTCATGAAGCTGAGCAAACCCCAAACAGAAAACCCAAACAAAATCACACCAACACATACCATATTCAAACTTCTATAAGCTAACGATAAAAATAAATTAAAAAATCTTGGTAGTGGCCAGAGAAAAATGACCCTTCATGGACAAGCAATTTGAATAACACTAATTTCTCATCAAAAATCCTGAAAGCTATGAGGAAGGGGCACCACATTTCTCACAGGCTGAAAAAAAGAACAGTCTACCCAACATCCTATATCCTGTGAAAACATCCTTCAAGAATAAAAGAGCAATCAAGACACTGTCAGATGAAGAAAAACTAAGAGAAGAAATTCATAACCAGCAGATCTATCTAAAATAATGGCAAAAAAAAAACAAAAAACAAAAAACAAGTTCTCTAAACAGAAAGGAAATTACTAAAGAAGGAAAGAATCTTGAAATAACAGGAAAGAGGAAATACCATAGTAGGCAACATTATGGGTAAATAAAACAGACTTTCCTTCTTGAGTTTTCTAAAATATGTTTGATGATTAATGCAAAAAATTACAATATTTTCTTATGTAGCACTAAAGGTATGTAGAGAACATATTTAAGGTAATTGTACTGTAAGCGGGAGATGATAAAGTGACATAAAGGCAGGCAAAGTTTCTATACTTCACTCAAACTAGTAATGTAATACATAAAGCAACCAAAAAAGCTATACTAAGTACATTCAAAAACACAATAGATAAACCAAACAAAATTCTAAAGGATGTACAAGTAACCCACTGGAAGCTGAAAAAATGTAAACAGAAACTAAAAACAGAGAATAAATGAAAAATTAAAAACGAAATGGCAGACTTAAGCCCTAATATACAAATTATCACATTAAATATAAATGGTCTAAATACACCAACTGTAAGACAGAGATTAGCAAAGTAGATTTTAAAACATGACTCAACCACGTGCTGTCTACAAGAAGCTCACTTCAAATATACCAAGATAGGAAGGCTGAAAGTAAAACGATGGAAAAAGATGTATCATGCAAACATTAATCAAAGGAAAGCAGGGGTGGCTATATTAATGTCACGTAAAGTAAACTTCCGAGCAAAAAAAAAAAAAAGACCAGAGACAGAGAAGGACATAATATAATCCACTATTACACAATTGACAAGAAGGTCAGTCCACTAAGACAAATTTCAATCCCAAACGCGTATGCAACAAACAAAAGAGCTACCAATATGTGAAGCAAAAACATGACAGAACTGAAAGGAGAAATAGATCCACAATTATACTTAGGGGTATCCACAATACCCCCTCTCAATAATAATAAAACTAGACAGAAAATCCACAAGAACTGAGAGGAAATCAATACCATCAGCCAACAGCATCCGATCAGCATTTACAGAACACTCCACCCGAAAGCAGGATATACATTCTTTCAAGTGTCCACAGTATATCAAAACGGATAACATTCTGGGTCATAAGACAAATCTTAACAAATTTATAAGGACTGAAATAATTATAGAATGTGTTTTCTGATCACAATATAATCAAAAAAGAAATTAATAACATAACAGGAAAATCTCAAAACACTTGGAAATTAAACAAAAGTTGAGATAATGATGCATCAAAAAACACACTGAACTGAATGAAAATGAAAACATAGCCTATTAAGATTTGTGGGATGCAACTAAAGCAGTACTGAGTGGGGACATTTATAGCATTAGATGCATAAATTAGAAAAGAGGAAAGTCTCAAATCAATAGCTCACCTCCAGAACCTAGAAAAAGAACAGCAAAATAAATCTAAAGTAAGCAGAAATAAGGAATTAATAAAGTTGCAGCCAGTGCACTAAGAAAAAGAAATAAAAGATATACAGATCAGAAAGGAAGAAATTTTTGCAGATGACATAATTATCTACATAGAAAATCTCAAGGAATTTAAAAAACAAAGACCAAAAAACAGAAAAGCCTCCTAGAACTAATAAGTCAGCTCAGCAAAATTGCAGTATACAAGATAAACACACAAATATCAACTATATTTCTATACACTAGCAATGAACACGTATACACTATTGGGTTCACTATTGGGTTCACTATTGTGAACCCATCCCCCAATTCATATGTTGAAGTCCTAACCCGCAATGTCACTGCATTTGAAGATAGGGCCTTTCAAAAGGTAATTACAGTTAAATGAGGTCATAAGGATGGCGTCTTACTCCAACCTGACTGGGTGTCCTTATAAGAAGACAGACACTAGCCAGGCATGGTGGCTCACGCCTGTAATCCCAGCACTTTGGGAGGCCGAGGCGGGCAGATCACCTGAGGTCTGGAGTGTGAGACCAGCCTGGCCAACATGGAGAAACCCCAGTCTCCACTAAAAACACAAAGTTAGCCAGGCATGGTGGCACATGCCTGTAATCCCAGCTACTCGGGAGGCTGAGGAAGAATTGCTTGAACCCGGGAGAAGGAGGCTACGATCAGCCAAGATCACACCATTGCACGCTAGCCTGGGCAACAAGAGGGAAACTCCATCTCAAAAAAAAAAAAAAAAACCAGATACCAGGGAGGACCACACACAGAAAAAAAGACCATATGAAGACAAAGGGAGAAAATGCCATCTGCAAGCCAAGAAGAGAGGCATCAGGAGAAACCAACCTGCCAACACCTTAATCTCAGACTTCCAGCCTCCAGAACTGTGAGAGAATATATTTCTGCTGTTTGTCGGCCAGTTTGTGATATTTGGCTATGGCAACCCAAACAGACTAATGCAGATAACAAATTTCAAGATACGGTTTGATTTACTTTAAAAAAAGCATAAACTAAAACATGCACAGTACTCATATGCTGAAAACTACAAAATGCTGAAGGAAATCAAAGATCTAAATAATTGGAAAGATATGCCATGTTCATGGATTGGAAAACAACACAGTCAACATGTCAGTTCTCCCAATTTGATATACTGGCTTAATTGCAATTCCCAACAAAATCTGAGCAAGAATATTTGTAGATATAGACAAGATTACTCTAAAATGTATATGGAAAGGCAAAGAAACTATAATAGTCAAAACAATTTTGAATAAAAAGAAGTTGGAGGAATCAGTCCATCCAATTTCAAAACTTGCTAGAAAGCTTCATAACCAAGATGGTGAGACATTGGTACAACGGGAAACACATAGTTCAATGGAACAGGATAAAGAGCCCAGAAGCAGGCTCACATAAATAGGCCCAACTTTTGACAAAGGTACAAAAGTAATTCAATGGGGAGAGCTAAGTCTTTTCAACAAATGATGCTGGAATAAATGGATACACAGGCCAAAAAAAGTGACCTCAACCTAAACTTCACATCTTATACAAAAATTAACTCAAAGCTGATCAGAGACTTAAATGTAAAAACACAAAACTTTAAAAAAGAAATTTAAGGAAAATCTTCTGAATTTAGGGCTAGGCAAAGAGTTTCCATAAAAGGAAAAACTGTTAAATCAGACCTCATGGGAGTTAAAAAATACTTGTTCTGTAAAAGACCATGTTAAGTAGATGAAACAACAAGCTACAGAGTTGAAAAAAACGGCAAACTGTATATATCCAACAAAGGACTAAAATCTGGAGTACACAAACAATGCTTAAAACTCAAGAGTATAAAAATGAACAATCCGGCCGGGCACGGTGGCTCAAGCCTGTAATCCCAGCACTTTGGGAGGCTGAGACGGGCGGATCACGAGGTCAGGAGATCGAGACCATCCTGGCTAACACGGTGAAACCCCGTCCTGTCTCTTATACACATCTAGATGTGTATAAGAGACAGATGCATGACTGTGTTTACAGAACACTCCTGAAATGACAAACTTATACAAGTGGAGAAGAGGGTAGTGGTTGCCAGGGGTTAAAGAGGAGGTGAGGCTTGGGAGCAGGGTGGGCCGTGACTGTAAAGAGCGGCGTGAGGGATCCCTGTGGGGACAGAATGTTCTGGATCCCGACTGTCACCATGCTGGTTGTGATGTGCTGCAGAACTGTAAGATGTGACCACTGCGAAAACTGGGTATGGGGTACATGGATCTCCCTGTATTATTTATTAAACAGCATGTGAATATAAGATTACCCAAATATAAAGCTTAATTTAAAAAGCAGGCAAACCCAGGCAAGCTCCAGGCCTGTCTGCCCCGCCATGCTCCAACACGGCTCCCACCCGTCTCCAGACTCTACCCGCAACCAAGTCTGAACTCCTCTAGCTGTTCTCCCCATGCTGGAGGAGCGAGAGTGGACACTTGGCACCCAGTAACAGGCAGGGGGCCAAGATGAGCCGGCACCACCTCCTCTAGACCCAACAGGATGTCTAGCCATGAGCAAAATGCCCCACTAGTTACTTTTTAACCTGGAAATCAAACCAGCTCGAGAAAAGTCCGTGTGCTTTTTCTCCATGTGACAAGAGGCAGCCACAGGCCAGAACCTGCCTCCACCTCCCCGTAGCCATCTCCCCACGGCCTCCACGGCCACACCAGGACAAGGACCAGCTGAGGAAGGGAAAGGGCTTCCTCGTGAGCAGCCCTCTCGGGAAGAACTGCACCACCCCCTGCACCAAGCCCCCATGGGCCCTTAGAAGTCCACTGTGAGGGGTCCCCTCCACAGGGCAGCTGCAGGGGAGCACACGCACAGGGTCCCTAAAGGGCCCTCAGGCATCTGTCCCTCCAGCTGCCAGGGGCTGAACAAGAGGCAGTCACAGAGGGATGTAGGTGGGGGGTGGCACAGTAGTCAGAAGCAGTCAGCACCCAGAGGCAGGTCAAAAGCCAGGCCCAGCCTGGCGGGAGCCACGCAGGGCCCTTGGAGTCTCCCTGGGACAGGCCCTCCCTGCCCATACACGCTGGCAGCCACCGCTGTCTGGGGACAGAGGTAACTAGGGGCTCCAAGAATGGGGAGGACTTCCTACGGGGTGCTGGAGCCCCTCCAAGGCCAGCTGGACTACTGCCAGCGACCCCCCCGGGGCCATGCATTCAACAGAAGCCTTCTGGGCCCCCTTTCTGTAGACCTGAGACCAGCCCGGCCACCAGGAGGCTGTGTCCACCCTGGACGCATTCACCCCCGGGCCTCAGAGGGTCACCGCCCTGAGCATTCACCCCCGGGCCTCAGAGGGTCACCGCCCTGAGTGTTCACCCCCACCCATCGGAGGGTCACTGCCCTGAGCGTTCACACCCCACCCATCGGAGGGTCACTGCCCCGAGTGTTCACCCCCGGGCCTCAGAGGGTCACCACCCTGAGTGTTCACTCCCGGGCCTCAGAGGGTCACCACCCTGAGTGTTCACCCCCACCCATCGGAGGGTCACCGCCCCGAGTGTTCACACCTGGGTCAGGGGCATTGCACCCGGAGGGCTCTGTGGAACGGGGCCACGTCGCCTGCCAGTGTGGACTGGCCCTAATGACACTCTTGGGCTGAAGGATGCATTTCGATGAGTGAGCAACAGCCACCCTCACCTAACAGGCATTCGCAAGCTGAAGGGGATGCCTGCTGTTGCCCAGGCCTCATCCTGAGCTCCAGAGTCACCGAGGCTGAACAGACGCGGCACCCTCAGAGGATCAGGGCCAGCCCTGACAGTCCTCCTGCCCAGTGAGACCTGGGCCGTAGGTGGACAAAGCCCTTGTCCCACCCGCCAAGCGCATCTGTCTAGCTGCAGGCTGGGGCGGGGCAGTCCTGAGGAGCCCGGGAGGACCTCTCACACCACGCCCACCATGGCTGTGTCCAGCTCACTTGGAGACCCAGCCTTGGCTGGGACCCTCAGGAGTTAAATGTGTGTCTTTCAGCTCCTCTTAGAAGCAGCAAAGGCCCGCCAGAGGTGGGGAAGGGGAGGGCACCCGCAGAAGCCTGTATGCCAACGCTGCTGAGTGGCTCTGCTCAGCTCTCCTTCCTGAAGAGAACAAAGCTCACGTGGCCTCTAGCCAGGGCTCAAGGACACCCAGTTCCGGCAGCCACAGGCCGAGAACAGAGACAAGGACAGGTCCGCCTTGGCGAGCAGAGGCTCAGTCGCTTCCAACAAGGCCCAGGGCCTGACGGAGGCTCCCACCCACAACAACTGAGCCCTGCTGGGGTCTCTCTCATTTCCTGCTCTCGCTGGCCTGGTGTGTCCCACCGGAAGCCCCCGGCGCACACTGTGTGCCACCGGCCCACAGTGGATTCCACATCAGGAGGGCACCAGGAGGCCTTGGCAATGTCCCCACAAGGAGCTTCCCTCCCCAAGGATGCAGGCCTGAAATGGGCTCACCTGCTTGCGGACTGCGAGGCCCAGGCCCCGCACGTCCGAGACAATGAAGGTGATGATGGTCTTGACAACGGTGGCAAAGAACGTGTTGACCCCGAAGACCAGGGCACAGAGCTCTTTAGACAGAGAAGATGCGATCTGAAAGCTGAACAGGAAGAGCGGGCAGATCAGGCGCTGCTGGGAGAACGAGAAGCAGCAACAGCGAAAAGCCTGCAGCCCGGCTCCCACCAGCCCATGACTCGCCTGGCAGCCATGAGGTCCCAGGGCACGCATAAGCCCCCCATCAGGCCCCCATCTCTCCCACACATGCCCGCCCCTCCCAGGCAGGAGCCAACACCCAGGCCACCCACCCTCGAGGGGCCATTCTGGTATGTGCTGCATCCCCCTGGCTCAGTACAGGGTGAGGGTCCCTTATCCAAAATGCCTGGGGCCAGAGGTTTTGGATTTTGGAATATTCACATATCCATAAGGAGATACCTTGAGGATGGAACCCAAGTCTAAACATGAAATTCATTTATGCTCATATACACGGTATACGTACAGTCAAAAGGTGATTTTATATAATACCTAACAGACATTTGCAAGCCAAAGGGGATGCTACTGCCCAGAGCCTCACCCTGAGTTCTGGAGTAATTCTGTGCATGAAGAAACTTTTGACCGTGTTCTGAGACTTGTCAAACAAGGTCAGGTGTGGGATTTTCCACTGCGTTGTCTTTTCAGAGCTCAAAAACTGTCAGATTTTGGAGTATTTCAAATTCTGGATTTTTTTTTGTTGTTGTTATTGTTATTTTTTAGATGGAGTCTCACTCTGTTGCCCAGGCGTGCAATGGCACAATCTCAGCTCACTGCAACCTCTGCCCCCTGGGTTCAAGCAATTCTCCCATCTCAGTCTTTCGAGTAGCTGGGATTACAGGCATGCGCCACAATGCCCAGCTAATTTTTGTATTTTTAGTAGAGACAGTTTCACCATGTTGGCCAGGCTGGTCTCGAGCTCCTGGCCTCAGGTGACCTGCCCACCTCGGCCTCCCAAAGTGCTGGGATCAAAGGCGTGAGCCACCGCACCCGGCCGAATTCTGGCTGTTTTGATTAGGGATGCTGAACCTGTACAATGGGTGTCACAAAACACAAACTCAACAAGATGCCTAGAAGGGCTCCCGTGAGCTCTGGGACGGACCAGGTCACAGGCATCTCAAAACGCTCGGAAAATCATCATCAAGAGAACCCCTGGGCACAGACAGAAAAGTCTGGAACGAAAGTCTTTCATGGTTAAATGTTCGATAAATTAGAAGAGCAGTGAAACCAGAGTTGGTGAGGGAGCAGCAGCTGGACAGAGCAGGCCCTGGAAATGAGCAGCAGCCGGGTAGGGGGGCCCTGAAGGTGAGTGGCAGCTGGGTGGGAGGTGGGTGGGCCTGGAGGCAGAGTAGGCCTTGAGGTGAATGGCAGCCAGATACAGTGGGCCCTGGAGGTGAGTGGCAGCCGGTTAGGGTGGGCCCTGGAGGTGAGTGGCAGCCAGGCAGGGCAGGCCCTGGAGGTGAGTGGCAGCCGGTTACCGCGAGCCCTGGAAGTGGGCAGTGGCATGCACATGTCCAGGAATGAAGGCACCATATTCCTGACATGGAGAGGTGACATACAAGGCTTCTGGTGCTCTGCAGAGAAACTAGTCTTCAGATGCAGTTCCAATTAAAATCCGCAAAGTGCTTTAAAAAAAAAAAAGAAAAGAAAAGAACTGGACAAAAAAATATCCTAAAGTTCACCTGAAGAAAAAATAAACAAAAATGCCAGAAACTCTTTAGAGAAGGACAGAGGTGTCTGTGCTGCCAGGCACTGGAGATGGGGGGACAGCGGGGACAGTGCAGATAGGGGGGCGGGCAGGCGGGTGGCAGTGAGGACGAGAAGCACACAGAGGTCCCGGTGAGCAGGTCAGCAGGACAAAGGGCAGATGAACAGCAGGGAAAACCCAGCACAAACGAGCTTCTGGACGCTGCGCTGGGTAGGCCAGCCCCCAGGGTGCTTCCAAGGACACTGAGAAACACTGGGAGTTGAATTAAAGGCAAACGAGTGTGGGGCATGATGGGGGCACAGGTGATTGAGAATACATGATACAGATGAGCGCTCCCCAGCTCAGGAGAGAGGAAAGTGAGTCCCAACACAGTCAGGAGACACACAGGGGCCACTCAGTCCACAGCAGGCCGGCCAGCCCCGCTCTTGTGAAGGAAAGGCTGGGAGCCCAGCTGGTCCATCAGAGGCTCAGGGAGGGTGGGAAGGCCGCTCCATCATCCTGATGGGGAGAAAGCCCGCATGCCAGCCTGCAGGGTACCTGCAATATCGACAGAAACCTTTCAAAAGCACAGACTCTCCAACCTGGCCATTCCCCTTCCAGGAATCCACCTGAGGGCCATTATTAGAATTTGGATAGAAAAATGTAGGTAGAAGGGCATTCATCTCAGCGTTCTTCTGTTGTAAGAAAAATGGAAATGGTGACTTTGCCCACAGACTGGGGATGGGTTGTAAGGCCCACCACTCATGACCTGGAGTGACCACCTACGTCTGTGTCTGACATCAACTCAACACAGACAAGCAGAAAATGCTGGGATTCCCCGTAGCAAATGGCGGTTTTCTGCTTTGCACACTGCTGCACCGCGTTGGATTTTCTGCGATGGGCATCAATGACTTTGTAACTAAAACCTTTCAGGCATTGTCCCCCTGGATGCAGCAATGGGACAGCACATCAGCAGAGGCCCTGGCCCTTTCCACCGTGCTGGCAGGTCAGGGAGGGGGGCCTTCAGGAGCTGGGGGCAGCAAGAGCCCTGCGTGGGCCTCAGGGAGCATGGAGAGGGCGGCCACACAGGAGCAAAAGGGGCCCCAAGTATGGCAGGGGCAGGAGAGAAGGGTGGGCCGGGCTGCCCATGCCAGGAGACTGCTGCCTGCGTGTGGGGAGGACGGGGAAGTACGCGGCTGGGCACATCCAGGTAGAATGCTGCAGGGATGAGGCTACCAATGCAGAGGGCACAATGCAAGAGTCGGCAGGGCGCTCTCAGCTCAACAGGCTCGTGGCCAGCGTAAGCCTCAGGAGGACGACCCACAGAGGGAGGGAGACAGAGTTCGGAGGCCACCCTGGAGTGGAGGCCCAGGAAGGGGAGCTGGGGCCAAAGTCCTCCCACCTGGCAGGAAAGAGGGGGCAGGTCCAGGGAGGCAGGGGCGGGTGTGAGCACACAGGGTCAGTGTCTGAGTGTGTCAGTGTGTGTGGTCTGAGTATGTGGTAGGTGTGTCAATGTGTGGGTGTGTCCATGTGTGATATATCCATGTGTGAGTGTAGTGTTTGTCCATGTGTGCACGTGTGGTAAGAGTGTGTGGTGAGTGTCCATTGGTGAGTGTGTGGTATGTGTTCACGTGTGGTGGATGTGCATGTGTGAGCGTGTGGTGTTCATGTGTGTGGTGTGTCCGTGTGTGTGGTGTGTTCACGTGTGTGGTGCGTGTCAATGTGAGTGTGGTATGTGTTCATGTGTGGTGGGTGTCCGTATATGTGTGGTGTGTTCACGTGTGGTGTGTGTCCGTGTGTGTGTTCATGTGTGTGGTGCGTGTCCGTGTGTGGTGTGTTCGCGTGTGTGGTGCATGTCTGTGTGTGTGTGGTGTGTTCACGTGTGTGGTGTGTTCACGTGTGTGGTGTGTCCATATGTGTGTGGTGTGTTCATGTGTGTGGTGTGTGTCCATGTGAGAGTGTGGTGTGTCTGTATCGTGTGTCCATCTGTGAGCATGTGGTGTGTGTTCATGAGTGTGTGGTGTGTGTCCATGTGGGAGCGTGTGGTGTGTGTGTGTGTGTGTGTGTGGTGTGAGTGCCTGGTGTGAGTGTAAGCTGAGGATGAACTCACACAGGTGCATGCTCCCGCTCCTGCCTGGATGGGGCCTGGAGGATGGGGTTGGGAGCAGGGCAGCAAGCCCAGCAGGCTTCAGAGAGAAGCGCGGAGAGCCTGGGGTAGCAGCTGGATGGCACAGGCAGGGATGCCCCAGGTCCCAGGGAGAGACAAGCGGGGACCCTGGTCAGCTCCAGGTGGCTGGCGGGGCCAGCACTGGCACAGTCGCTGGGGCGCGACGGGAAGATGGGAGCACCTCGCAAAGCGCAGGGCATGATCCTGGTGCCTGCCCACCCCCGGCTCCCCACCCTTCTGGAACTCACGTGGCGATGGGCACGAGGAACTGGTAGGAGCCGCGGAACAGCACGAAGGCCGCATAGCACAGCCAGATGCTACTCGTGCGCGCCAGAAGGAAGACCAGCCCGGCCTGCGTGGCCGTGACGCCTGCGATGAGCAGCTTGGACCAGCGCACCCAGCGGATCTTCACGAAGCCGGCGGCGAAGGACGTGATGGCACCTGAGACGGGAAGGATGGGGCGTTGCAGCGGCCCTGGGGGGCCACGGGGCAGGGGGAGGTGGCAGGAGCCTCTGAGGGAAGGTATCCACGGGGCAGGGGGAGGTGGCAGGAGCCTGTGGGGCAGGGTAGCCACGGGGCAGGGGGAGGTGGCAGGAGCCTCTGAGGGAAGGTATCCACGGGGCAGGGGGAGGTGGCAGGAGCCTCCGGGGGAAGGATCCACAGGGCAGGGGAAGGCGGCGAGGAGCCTCCGGGAGAAGCATCCACCGGGCAGGGGGAGGTGGCAGGAGCCTCTGAGGGAAGGTATCCACGGGGCAGGGGGAGGTGGCAGGAGCCTCCGGGGGAAGGATCCACAGGGCAGGGGGAGGTGGCAGGAGCCTCTGAGGGAAGGTATCCACGGGGCAGGGGGAGGTGGCAGGAGCCTCCGGGGGAAGGATCCACAGGGCAGGGGAAGGCGGCGAGGAGCCTCCGGGAGAAGCATCCACCGGGCAGGGGGAGGTGGCAGGAGCCTCTGAGGGAAGGTATCCACGGGGCAGGGGGTGGGGAGGGGGAGCATCCGGGGGAAGGATCCACCGGGCAGGAGGAGGTGGCGAGGGGCCTCCGGGGGGAGCATCCACGGGGCAGGGGGAGGTGGCAGGAGCCTCCGGGGGAAGGATCCACGGGGCAGGGGGTGAACGGGGAGCCTCGGGGACCAGGGCGCGCGTACCCAGTAGCGTAGAGGCAGCATCGGCCGCGCCGTTGTAGACTCGTGCACTGTTGGTGGTGGGGTCCACCTCGTTCCACAGGATGTGCACGTAGTAGACCACCAGGTAGTAGCCGGCCGAGTTGAAGACCCACCACAGGGACCAAAGGCGGAGCTGCGGCCGCCGCAGGCTATCCCGCAGCTCCCGCAGCATCCGCGCCAGCACGGAGTCCCCGCAGGCCGCCCGCAGCGCGCGCCCCAGCTTCCCGCCCGGGCCGGCGTTCATGCGCTCCAGCTCCGAGGCCGAGGCTTCGCACCGCTCGCGGTCGTCGCGGTTGAAGAAGAGGCTGCGTTTGGGGCGCTTCAGGAAGAGGGCGAGGACCACACTGAAGGTGAGGAAGGCCAGCGAGATGTAGTTGAGCGTGGAGAAGGAGACTCGGCCCACGGTGACCAGCAGCTGGCCCAGCACGGAGCTGGTGAACACACCCAGCAGCACGGCAGCGCGCGAGTAGCCGGCCACACGCTGGTAGCGCGCGGGCCGCACGAGAGAGAAGATGTAGGAGGAGTAGGCGATGCGCGCGGCCATGGTGACACTGTAGAAGAACTCCATGAGCTGCATGTGTTCCACCGAGCGGCCCAGCAGCAGCAGCAGCCACACCGACACGAAGCTGAGCCCCTGCAGCAGCAGCACCGGCGTGTAGCGCAGGTAGTCGGTGAGCAGGAACACGGGCACCAGCACGGCCAGGTAGGAGTACGACAGCACCGGCGTGATCTTGTTGGTGACCTGCGGACAGGCGGGCGGGCGCCCCACTAGGCATTAGCAATGCTGGGGCTGCCGCGGACACAGCCCGCCCGAGGTCATGGCTGCTGACGGCTTCCTACCCCAACACTGCCTGGTGTGACCTCTCTCCCCAACATGCCCCTGTCCCATGTCCCATTGCATCGTCCTCTCTGAACAGGGACCTCTGGCTCCCGACCGTCCCAGGAGCCTGGGAGTGTTTGCCTGCAGAAAGCTGACAGTAGCCACAGAAGGAATCGTTATTAACAATCCTGTTCATCTAAGCTTCTCTAGTTTTATTTTTATTTTTTTCTGAGACAGTCTTGCTCTGTCGCCCAGGCTGGAGTGCAGTGGCACAATCTTAGCTCACTGCAACCTCCACCTCCCAGGTTCAAGCAATTCTCCTGCCTCAGCCTCCCGAGTTACAGCTGCGTACCACCACGTCTGGCTGATTTTTGTATTTTTAGTAGAGAAGGGATTTCACCATGTTGGACAGGCTGGTCTCGAACTCCTGACCTCAGGTGATCCGCCCACCTTGGCCTCCCAAAGTGCTGGGATTACAGGCGTGAGCCACCACACCCAGCCAGCTTCTCTATTTTTAATAGCATAAAAACATGGTTTTATTTCATCTTAAACAATATGGAAAACAGAGCTGTAACCCGTAACACATTCACACTAACACAAGGTCCTTCCATCCTTGCTGGAGAGAGACAAAAACAGAAGGCACAGAAAGGAAGAGCAAGATCAGGAACAGCAGGTTCGTGGGAGGGACTGTGGGGAACCCAGCAGGGGAAGAAAGACAGGAAAGGGAAGAAGGGGAAAGAGAGGGCGTGGGGAAGGGCAGAGGGCCCTGGGCTGCGCACTCCCATCTCACACTAGTCCCCAGAGCAAGGTCTTTAAGGCCAGGCTCCAACCCAGGGGCAGGGAGGGGGACAAGCACCCCTGCAGCCGTCCTGCACCCACCCAGGAGGGGGAGCACAGGCTGTCGGCCTGCCCACCCCCACCTCCTCCATCACATGTTATGTGGGAACCCAGCTCCACAGCCTTGGCCACTGAGCTGCCGGTGGACACTCCAGGCCTGGCCTCTGTGCCTGTGGGCTCAACACACATCCACCTTCCATGGGAACGTGGAGCTGGGCATGGGTCTGGGGGTGCTGCCTCCTACAGGACAAGGTCAGAGGGCACTGCCCCAGACTCTACTCCAGGCAGGCACCAAATGTCCCCAGCTGGCTTGGCAGGGGCCAGGGCTTCTGCAGGCACACTTGGGCTCACCTGGGCACAGTCCAGAGGAAGAGGCCCCACTCCCGTGAGGGCCAAGCCGCTTGCCTTGCCCCTCCCTGGGGACTGATGTGGGAGCCACCTTATGCTTGGAGCCTCCCCTGGGGCCCAGGTGCATTTTCAGCAGGTGGCCCTGCCCAGAGGCCCCACCAGACCCCACCTCAGATCTGCTGGAGGTTGGTACCAGGTGGGCCAGCAGGGCCCTGCTGGACTCCGGGCCTCCAGTAGGCCCCACCTGACTCAGGCCTGACCACCAGCAACCCCACAGCCCTACTCATGCTGCCCCAGGTGACCTCAGCCCCTGCCAGCCACACTGGAGAAGACCAAACCGTGGGTCAGCACAGGGGTGCGGCGCCGAGCCACGCCTCCTCCCCAGGGCCTCTCAGCCTCGTGTCTGGCACACCCAAGATGTGTGGCCCGATGTGCTCGGAGTCTGGCCACCGGCTACTGTGAACAGCTGGGGAATAGGACCCTGCAGCCAGGCCAGCATGCTGAGAAGCTTCCCAGGGGCTCAGGGGAAGGCTGCCCAGAGACCCCACCTCAGGGCACCCTGAGGTCGCACCCCGGAGCCTGCACCCTCATGGAGACCAAGCTGACCCAAAGGCTGTGGTCCCAGCAGCACCAGGCACCCAAGGTCCCTCCCGCACTCCATCCTGCTCAGGACATTCCTGGACACTCTTTGAGGGTAGGTCAGGCGCCAGGAGGCTGAGTGACCATGCCGGGTCACAGAGAGCCTCAGGGCGGCCATCTGCTTCTGCACTGTGTTTACAGCAATGTCCTGGGGACATCAAACAGCCCCATTTGACGGCCTGCTTGACTAGGGGAGGCTCCTCCTCAGGGCCAGCCCAGGGAACCCCTGCAGATTCCGAAAGAAGCGGCTCAGAGGCAGGGGCCCTCCTAGGACCTCAGGGACCCCTGACCCCCAGACACAGGAGGCCGCGCGGGGGCATGACCGCCCCAGCCCCTGGCCAGGGCACAGGTCCTGCCCACAGCCCAGAGTCAAAATGGTAGACAGGCAGCAAAGAGGCTCTCCCCAGAGCCCACGGCTCTCTGGAAAAGGGCACTGGGTGTCCTAGAAGCCTCACCCACCTCACGCTCCTCTTCCACCAGGAACCGGCTCTGCAGGCCGGGGCCTCATCCGGCACCTCCTGGTCTTAGTTGAGGGACTGAGTGCAGAGCTCCCCCTTGGCAGACCACGGGGTCCAAGTGGAGCCTGAACACTCCCCAACACCCACCCAGGGCCCTCCTGCTCCTCTCCCTGCACCTCCTCGATGGCCCCTACTCCCCCTTCCTCAGCCTTGGCAGGCAGACAGCAGGGAGGCTCTGCCCAGAGCTGTGACCTGCGACCCACTTACAAGGCTGCTGGGGGAGGGGCCCCCACAATGGTCCCAGCAGGGAGGTGTCATCTGTCAGGCGGCCACGGCTCTGACACGAGGACAGCCTCCCGCTGCCTGAGCCTGGCGTCGGCCCTGTTCTCCACAGGTCGTGGTTGGGGTCCAGGCTGCATAGGCAGAGTGCAGGGAGCTGCGCCCAAATCTACACCTGGACAGCCTCAGGGAGGCTTCTCTGAACAGGGAGGTGGGAAGGTGGGCAAGGCCCGAAGGCAGGCAGGACGTGAGGGCAGGGCCGGGCGTGGGGCAGCAGGACTGGATGCCAGAGAAGGGCACCCAACAGGGACCAGCTGGGGACGGGGCATGGGCCGCAGGTCAGGAAGGATGGCTATGCACAGGGTCCTGGGCCGGGGGTTTCCCTGGAGGAGGGTGGGGGCTGCAGCCCCCACCACACAGCACAGTTCCAGTGGGGTTCCAGGCAACTGCAACCCACCCAGGAGCACCTCACGGACTCGGCCGCGGAAAGCGCTCTCAGCTGCCACTCAAAGCAGAAACCTCAGAGGGAAATTTGGCCAAATTCAAAAACGACTCCAGAGAAACACCATATGTAACACACAGCCAGTCCGATCCCAAGGGCACGGGGTCCCCAGGAAGCAGAAGAGGGAACCAGGTCCAAGGAGGACAGCAACCGCAGGGATGCCAGGAAACACCAGCCCACGGAGAGAGAAATGGAGGCAGAGCAAATGTGAGCAAAGGAAAGCACGCTCCTCACCGCAGCCAGATGGCTGGCGCTCAGCAGCCCACCCGAGCTGGTGAGGGGAACACAGGCAGCCCGTGGCAGTCTGCGGAGGAAGCAGCATTTGTCCCAGGAGTGAGCTGGAAATGCCAGCCGGGGCCAGCTGGGTCAAGGCCCACCGCCTGAGGCTGCTGGCTCGTACTCTACCCGAAGCCATCAACAAGCAGTGGGAGAAGCCGGAATCCCCTGATCGCCTCCAGCAAAGCACCAGATAAGCACCTTGTAGTTCAACCCGGTAGGCGCAGCTTAAGAACACCCTTGAACCCACGTGGAACATCTCTTAAGTCAGACTGGCCAGGAGAGCAACGTGCGAAAGCTGGGTCACAAGACACCACTTACGCGAACTTCCTAGACACAAGCCCGGCGGCAACAGGGGCTGGCAAGTCCTGGCAGGCTGGGCCTCCCTTGCCCCCAAAGCTGCTCCCCGTCCACCTACCGGTGGCCGCCCCCGCACCTCGGCGCCCACGTGCCTGC